AGCTGCAGGAGCATTCATCAAACCAAAAGGCATCACTAAGAATTCATAATGACCATATCTAGTGCGAATGGCCGTCTTTCCAACATCAGATCCTTTAACTTTCAATTGATAATAACCTGAACGAAGATCAATCTTAGAGAATACAGTAGCTCCTCGCAACTGATCAAATAAATCATCAATCCTGGGTAGTGGATATTTATTCTTGAACGTCATCTGATTCAACTTCCGATAGTCAATACATAATCTTAGCGACCCATCCTTTTTTTTCACGAACAGAACTGGAGCTCCCCATGGTGAAGTACTATGTCGAATAAATCCTCGATCGAATAATTCTTGCAATTGAACCTTCAATTCCTTAAGTTCCTTTGGAGCCATGCGATAAGGTGCCATAGAAATAGGTGAAGATCCCGGATAAGTCTCAATCTCGAACTCTACCTCTCTATCAGGAGGTAACCCAGGCAACTCCTCCGGAAAAACATCCGAAAACTCGCTAACTGTACGAATCTCCTCGATCGTGGATAATGCACCTTTGGTGTTCAAAATACAGGCAATGAAAGTCTCATATCCCTTCCGGATCATACGATCAATTTCTATCGCTGAAACTATATTGGAGAGATAGCCGCGACGTTCACCAATTAACACAACGGTCCGACCATCAGAAGATTTCAGAGTAGCTCTCTTGTACTCGCAATCCAGATTTTCTTTGTATTTAGTCAACCAATCCATCCCAAGAATTAGATCGAACTCCTCTAAAGAAAGCTCCATAAGATCAGCGAGAAAAAAATTTCTCCCTGAACCTCAAGAGGACAACGCCGAAATACTTTATTCACTAATACCGCTTGTCCTACTGGACTCGTAACTATAATAGTATTTTCAGTGTTCTCAATCAAAATCTGAAGGTTTCGAGATACCGAGCTCGATACATAGGAGTGAGTGGAGCCATTGTCCAGTAATGCAAAGTAAGAGATATAATAAATAGTAAATGTACATTCAATAACCTCAGGTTCATCTCTGTCATCCCGACGTCTAGTGGCATAAACCAAAGCTGGCTGTCTAGCCTCAGAAGTTGTTGGCCCTCTATTTTGCTGAGGTCGGGCTCTACTGCCTGTCCTGGACGCTGATCCTCGAGTCTTTCCTTGACTACGATCTCTAATTGTGGTCTGTACTGTAATCTGAGAACGCACAGGAGTTTGGGTAGCGGTCTGCTCAAACGAAGCTAGCTGAGGACAATCCCTCCGATAATGACCCCTAGATACACACTGATAGCAAAGACCCATCTTCTTACGACACTCTCCTATGTGTTGTTTACCACAATACTCACAAAGGGGCCCATTATAATACGACGAGGAACCGCCTCGACTGACAGCTAAAGGTGAGGATGCTGCAGGCCTGAAACGTGTATTGCTTCTCTGAGGGGCCAAATTACGAGTCCTCTTCCCGAACTGTGCTGATGACTCAATATTAGTCGCTCCTATGATCGATGTAGTCATGCCAATACCTGCAGCAGAAGGCAGATTCATTGGGGTCGTAGGAGCAGGATCATCTAACGGAGGTGGGGGATCTACTCATATCCCATCGATCGGGTCTGTAAATCTAGCCACTTGACCTCGTCCACGGCTAGTTTGACGACTACGTCTAGCACTAATTTTTATGGATCTCAAGTTTACTCTAGAAGATGAAACTTAGGATTAGATAAGCACTTGGAGTCTCGAACACAATTAAAAATCTTAATAATTTTGTGACATGGCCTTAGTAACTTGTTTTGTAAAATATTTCAAAATTGTATTTTCAATGTGGACTCATACACAGTCCGAGGGTTAAAAACCAAAAGCTATGATACCAATAAATGTAACTCCCTAGACCCGGCCTATACGTTTCGACTAAGTCTAGTGGATCACAAAGACATTTTCCAAAACCGTTATCCAATCAATGTAAAATCACATTAATCATGACATGAAATTATAATAAATTATACTATTAAAACTCAACTCTTAAATATAAAACCAATCAGTAATAAATTAATTTAAAACATATCTTAAAAATCAAAACCACGATAAACTGAATAGTAATAGCAAAAGTATCATCATTATAAAATCCAATACTTTAAAATAGGTCCATGTCACCATAATAAAGTCAACTTGCAATATTAAAATATTACAATCAGATATACTTCAAGAGATATGTTGTTCCTCCAAGTGCTCAAACCGAGGTATCTAACCAACAGTATCTGAAAGGGGAAAAACATTTTTGAAAGGTGAGCTAGGCTCAGTGTGTCCCAACATTTCCATAAAATCACAATAGGTACATTAAACAAATCATAGTCCAGTAAATCTCACAAATTCGTAAAAGAGTTTAACTTTTGAAAATCATAGTTTAAACCCTTTTCTGGTACACCATCAGTAGTTCCCAAAATTATTTTCCATATAGCTTACTTTATGCACATAGCAAAAAGAAAGCCGACTTAAGGATAGACTATGAAGCTTGTATCCTTAAGCCCAAGTCAATAAGTCCATATAGCTTACCCTAAGCACACAGCAAAGGAAAGCCGACCTAATGAAACATCTTGGGGCCCTCAAGAGTCACATTAGGCCCGTTTATTAGCTTTATCAGAGCTATACAATTGTAGTTCAATCCATCCCAAAATCAATATCCATATACCAGTCATCAAAGTCCATAAATCATCAACAATAAATCGGTGTACCAACAATAATAATCCATAGATTTCAATGTACCATATTTCAAAACATATAAAACCATTATGTAGTAAACAGGAACACACCTCGATAATGGGTTCAGATAGTAGATCTACTGATTGCTGGTTTCACCACGCTCTGCTACAGTTTTCAAACGGGTGAATATTGGTATACGTGGTTTAACTGATTTAGAAGAGCTGGGTCGAGCTGTCGAACGATCCGGAGAGTTTCTTGAACCTTCAAACAATAATAATTAATCAGCCCCAAATCTTACTTAATTGTTCAAAGCTAAAATTCTTAAGTATATAAGCATTTTTCGGGTTTGACTATCATTTTGGGGTATTTCGAGTCTGAATTTGGCCAAATGGATTGCGAAATCGGAATCAGGACGTCGAAAAACATAAAGTATGAATTTTCGAAAATTCAGATTCTTGGTCAAAGTCAAAGTCAACCACTTTGACTGTCAATTTGGAGACCTTCGGGTTCGAATTTGACGAAACGGACTTTGGAAACGGATTCGGGACGTCGAAAACTATCAGAATAGGTATACTCGGAAAAGATTTACGGTCGTTTAAGGGTCGGTCAAAGCTAATTTAAGTTTTGGTCAAAGGAAGTCAACGGTCAACGGTTGGGTCGGGTCAACGGTCGGATCGGGTCAGTCGGGTCGGGTCAGACCGGTCAAACCGGTTCATACCGGTCAAAAATGTTTGGACCCCCGGAAGAGGCCTCACGCGCCACACGCGCCGCCGTCGACGGAGACCAAGGTTGACACCGGCAGACTCGAAACGGCACAAGGAACACGATGGTGTAGGAGGTGTCGTAAACGGAGCAACGATCGGCGGTGAATTTGAGATTTTTCCGGCGATAGAGCTAAAAAAAAGTCGATGCTTTGAATTGATATTCCCGACGTTGGCAGCGTTTCACTTCAATTAAATTGAAGGGTTTGTTCCTCGCTCGATGATGAACACAACGGTGGTTTCAAAACGACGATCGGAATTTGGACGGCGTCTGGATCGGGGTCGAAAACGGACGTAGGGGAAAGGGAATTTGGGGTGGTGGTTTTCTGTTATATAACCAAAATTTACCTAATTTTATTGGGTAAATTCAGGGCTTAATCTCTGAATTTTCTTTAACTCTAAAACAAGCTCCAAATTTTAAAATATTTCAATTTAGTCCCCAATTTTCACCAATTTTCGCCAATTTTTACAATTAACCTCCAATTTCAATTAAATATTATTTTTTATAAAAATTCGGGTTGTTAGAGGAAAATAATGAGTTTAGAACATATACATAGTTAGATGACTATTTTGTAACTTCAAATAGTCAAGGGACTCAAAAAGTAACACCATATAATCGGAGAGTCATTTTGTAACTTTTAATAGTTGAGAGACTTAGTAAAATAGCGTCTTATAGTCGGAGACTATTTTTATACTTTACCCTTAAATGAATAGTATTGTATACATCTTATCGCATTTTTATCCCTTGATCCACTTCATGTAATATATTATAATAATCTTAAGCTTCAATTTAAAGAACATCTTAATTTACAATTTTGTGATTGAAAGGAGATAGTTGATTTATTTCATGTTGATGGAACTGCCTGGTTTACAAGTGTTTTGACATTAATGTTTCAGCTAATTTATGTTGATTAAACTATAATCAAACCAAATTAAGATTTGATAAATTCCAACTTGTGTATAATTTTTTGTTCAGAATAATTTATTTATAAATTCTGCAGGTCATTATTATAAATCATTTGTAGGACGGATTGTATTCTTTGACAATTATAAATTGTTTATAAAATTTGTATATATACTAAACTAAACATATCTTATTAGTTAATGGACATACTTTCCAAGGTTAACATGACAGTTAAATTCATTAAACCATTGTCAGCAGATGCATATATTAACTTTTAGATTAAAAAGGGATTAATTTATAAGATAAAAAGTACTCAAATCCAAGTAAAACAACAGATTTTAGCAAGAAAAATAATGCATAAAAGATAGTTGAAATGTAACACAAACCAAATAAGTAATGAAGGAGGACAATTAAGAAGATGAAAAGAAAACAATATCAGAGGATTAGGGTAATGATTTGTTCAGCTCGTTCCTTCTAAAGTAAAATGTCCATGCCTTTTGGTTGGTTTTAAGTTCTCAAAAGGTTATCGCTAGAAAATGCACATTGATTCATTGATAGCTCCGATCTCGTGTGTTGGCCGTGCCTCTTCATTTTCATTACTTTTTTGCTTTGACATAATCTTTGTAATCAGGCAAGCTTGGAGCCCGCATATCGATATCAGCGGCTCCCACCTTCTAGTGTTATCTGCTTCTCAAAGCCAACTATTCCAATCAGAGTACGAAGATTATGTTGCTGCAACTAGCAGTAGCCTTGCCTGTCTTCGCTTGGTTGCTCCTATTGTAAGCAAATAAGACTATTATTTCTCAAGATTCTGTACTCAAGAATGATATTCTGTCTCATGTTTGGAAAGTTGTGTCGGTTTGTTTTCAGTTGCTTATCATCTTGCTCTTACGCCAAGTCCTTATGTTGACAAGAGATTCTGGCATGATCCAGGAGTCATCAACTTTGATTAACGTGAGTACAAAGTGACATCTTTGGAATATCTAATACACCATAGTAGTTCCTCGGTTGACTGTTTTGTGTTTATGCCCGTATGTTGTGCCATGCAAATGCCATATATTTTACGTAGTAACATTCAGCACTGTGCCATTGAAATGTCATACATATTTGCTGGGATGTAAAGGTGAACACGCCGAATTTCTAAACGCACTATGTTTATGTGTATAAGTTGAAAATTTTCTTTTTGAAATGCTGTTGATAAGTGATATAACAGCACGGACATAGGGGACGAAGGTTGTGGGATGCACGGGATACTTAAATTTCTTCGTAATTCGTTTTGCTTCGAGATAAGACTGAATTAGAATTTGGGTCATCAGTTTCAGGTTTTGCTTCTCAAATTTGATGGCTTTCTTCTTCCATGCTATGTGGCGGCTCGCACGTGGTATTTACAAAGTCGAAGGAGGAGACAGGTTAGCTGTGCATAGATGTTCTTGTTTTTTAGATGTCACGACCGATATCGAAGATGCTTCTCCTACCTTTAATCGTAATGTTCTTTTTCTTCTGTAATTCTAATCGATTGCTTTTCTTGTCTTGTTTGAAGGGTTAAAGCAGCAGCAGGCAAGGATGTTGGGTTGCTTGACAAGCATGTTGTTTGGTTTTTGTAAATTGCAAAAGGCAATTTCCCAAGTTGTAATGAATGAAATAGTGGCTTTGTATCTGAATTAAAACAAGGAATTCGGAAGCAATTGTAAATGTGATTATGAGTTTTCCTTTATTTATTTTGTTTATCCCTCATTTAAAATAATAGGAATTGCACATTAATGAATTGGAAACTTTATATCATTGAACTTGAATTTTGATGATGTGTTGTTTCGAGAACATATTATATCTCTTTAGAAATTGTACTACATTAGAATTGTTGCAGAAGATGTAGATATTAGATTGCAACTTAATAGACCTAGATGTTATGGTCGAATCTAAAAAATTACAATAATAAAAATTCATAAAATCATAATTTCTATTTAAGAATTATCAACGGTTCAAAATAAATTATAAATTAAATAAATATTAATAAATAAACTCTTAATTAAATAATAATAAATCCATACACTTTTAGAATAATGTATGTCAAAATATGGTTCACAGTTCCAGGTAAAAAATGTCCCAAAAGTCTAAATATATAAAAAGTTATAGGATAAAATATAAATAAAATATGGTAATAGCCATTCTATATAAGATGAAATATTGCTAGCTGATCCCTCCAAATACCAAAACAATTTTATTAGTTATGTGAATTTGAAAAGAAGAAAAACTAAAGGGTGAGTTATAGAATTTAGTGTATCCTCCAAGTACTGGTCAATAATCAAAGAATCATTCCATAACATTTGAGCATCAAACGATATTCAACAAAGCAAATATAACATATACATACAATGTCATACATAGTATGAATGCAATGTAATGTAACCCAAATAACTCAACTACATTGTCATACGGTTATTGAGTTTACATTCGAATGTGATGCGGCAGTTAGTAATTAGATTTATCATCCAAAGGATACACCAATCGATTATTCTATCACTTGTTTAACACAATACTATCCTGTTGTAACATACATGATAGTATGAATTTAGTTACCTAAAATGTTTTAGGAGTATAAAATGTTTTCTCTTAATGTAAGTGTCTAACGTTTTCATCGTTACTTTTTAAAGTATCTAATTTATTACAATCGTTAAAAAAAACTATTATCTCACACGTGTTATATTTATATAATTTGTAAAAAAAATATTTTAAAATAAAATATTTAAAAAAACTCCAAACTTTTTCTAAAATATATAAAAAAACTCAAACTCTTTAAAAGTTTTAATTTCAAATCTCATTACTGTTGTTGGTTATCACCAACAGCGAACGACCATCCACTAACATCCCATCGTCCTTGCAAGTGGCAACAAGCAATATGATAGGTTGGAAGGCGGATCGAGTCAGTGATTCTTCCATTAGGGTATTACAGCAGCTCAAGCAATCTGACTTTACCGATCAACAAGAATATGTTGAATGGCAAAAAAGAAAGCTCAAGCTTCTTGAAGCTGGTTTACTATTGCATCCTCGTGTGTCACTTGTTGTTCTATCTCTTGTTGGGAAATAAACAAGTACGAGTAATTTTCCTATAACCAGATTAGTGAGAATGCGAAATAAAAGCGTAAAAATAATACCCGAAATTGATAACGGAGTTCAGCCAATTGTACTTACATCTCCGGACAGCTGCAGATCTTTTACTAAGAGAGAAAATTTACAGGTGTTTACAAAACACTCACTACTCACAAGAAACTCTCTAGTATTGGGAGAAATAAAAAATTTGGGATGATTTTGAAGCTAAATGAGCTAGGGTATTTATAGTTGAAGCTTAGGGACTAATCTTTAAAAATACCCTAAAGTGCAATGACTAAAATGTAATTAACCATTGTTTAAATTCAAAAAAATGGGCTGCCTAACTTTGAAAAATTAGCAGCCCCATTAAATTCCCTTGCCTAGCCGCCCACGTGTTTTTTTACTTTCAACAATCTCCCACTTGAAGACTGATTTTAATCTGTCTTCACACCTTGATCAATGCAGCAGTATTTCTGGTCTTGTTACTGCCAACTGAAGCTGAACACAACTTCAGTTTGTCCATAGTCACCGTCTTTGTCAACATGTCTATCGGATTTTGAGCTCCACTAATCTTTTCAAGTTTCAAAATCCCATCTTCCAGAAGAGACCGTATAAAATGATATCTCAATAGTATGTGCTTCGTCCTGGAATGAAAAGATGGATTCTTCGCTAGATGGATAGCACTTTGACTGTCGCAATATAAGACATTATTTTCATGTTTCTTACCTAACTCTTCCAAGAAACTTTGGAGCCAGACCATCTCCTTGCTGGCTTCCATAACAGCGACATATTCTACTTCAGTTGTGGAGAGAGAAACTATCTTCTGTAGTTGAGAAACTCAACTCACTACAGTTCCTCCTAGAATATAAACATACCCTATAGTGCTCCTTCTGATTCAACATTTCCGGCTAATTCATCATCTACATAGCCTGTCAGTATCGTATCTCCACCTTTGAAACAAAGTGCTTTGTTTGTGGTACCCCGCAGATATCTGAGGATCCATTTGACAGCTTCCCAGTGTACCTTGCCTGGATTATTCATGTACCTGCTAACAGCTCCCACTGCATGAGCAATATCTGGTCTGGTACAAACCATGACATACATCAGACTTCCAATTGCTGAGGCATACGACACCTTCACCATGTGTGCACGTTCTTCCTCCGTCTTTGGTGACTGTTCTTTGGAGAGTCTAAAATGAATACCTAAAGGTGTACTTACTGGTTTAGCATCTTGCTTGTTGAACCTGGAAAGTACTTTGTTGATGTACTCAACCTGTGATAACATCAAAGTCTCCAACTTTGTGTCTCTCTTGATCCTCATCCCAAGAATCTGCTTTGCAGTGCCCAGATCTTTCATTGCAAACTGCTTTGCCAATTTTTGCTTCAAGTTTATAATCTCTTGCATGTCTGATCCTGCAACGAGCATGTCATCAACGTACAACAATAAAATAATGAAGCTATTGTCGAACCTCTTGATGTAGCAACAATGATATGCTTGGCATCTGGTAAAACCACTGCCACTCATGAAGCTATCGACCTTCTTGTACCACTGTCTTGGAGCTTGTTTTAAACCATACAAGCTCTTCTTCAACCTGCATACCAGGTTTTTCTTGCCTGCCTCTATAAAGCCTTCTGGCTTCCTTATATAGATTTCTTCCTCCAAATCACCATGAAGGAAAGTTGTCTTTACATCTAACAGCTCAAGATGTAGATTTTCTGTAGCTACAATTTTCAACACCAGTCTGATTGTAGACAGTTTCACGACTGGAGATAAAATTTCATTGTAGTCAATACATTCTTTTTGTTGAAAACCTTTGACAACCAATCTTGCTTTGTAGCGTTTTCTCCCATCGTGCTCTTCATTGATCCTGTAAATCCACTTGTTGTGAAGCGCTTTCTTGCCTGGTGGTAATTCAACTAATTCTCACGTCTGATTTGACATAAGCGAGTCCATCTCATTTGTCATGGAAGACTCCCACTTGACTGAATCCTCCACTTGCATTGCTTTATCATAGCACTCTGGTTCACCATTGTCAGTCAGCAATAAATAGTGCAAAGAAGGCGAATAACGTTGGGTTAGTTTAGGAATTCTGGAGGAGCGTCTTAGTTCAGTTGTGTCTGGTTCTTCTTGAACTACTTCAAGACTGATCTGAACTTCATTTCCAGAAATCTCCTCGAACTCAACAAATTCCTTTGTTTCAACTTTGGTGTTTGAGCTACTTGATTCTATGGTTGATCTGTCTTTGTACATCACATTCTCATTGAAAATGACATCTCTGCTTTTGATGATCTTTCGATTTTCATAGTCCCAAAATTGGTAACCGAACTCATCACCACCATAACCAACAAAGACACATTTGTTGGACTTGGCATCAAGTTTACTTCTTTCAGCTGAATCTATGTGTACATAAGGAATACAACCAAACACTCTTAAGTGTGAAAGGTTTATTTCTTTCTTGCTCCAAACTTCCTCTGGTATTCTGCCATCCAAAGGAACTGAGGGCCCACGGTTGATCACGTAAGCTGTAGTGTTGATAGCTTCAGCCCATAGAAATTTGGGTAATCCGGCATGTATCCTCAAGCTTCTGGCACGTTCATTTAGAGTTCTGTTCATGCACTCTGCTACGCCATTCTGTTGCGGTGTCATGGGAACTGTTGTCTCCATCTTGATCCCATTGTTTGTGTAGAAATATCTGAATCTTTTATTTTTGTACTCTCCTCCACTATCAGACCTCAACCGCTTGACTTTCAAACCAGTCTCATTTTCCACCATGGTTTTCCATTTTCTGAAGGTATCAAAGACTTCTGATTTCTTCTTCAGAAAATAAACCCACACCTTCCTCGTAGAATCATCGATGAAGGTGACATAATATAATGAGCCTGCAAGAGATAAAACTGGAGATGGTCCCCATACATCAATATAAATCAACTCTAACCTTTAAGCCTTGGGTGTCTTGCCAATCTTTGCAAAACTCACTTTCTTTTGTTTGCCAAAGATGCAATCCTCGCATAGTCCAACATCTACATTCTTTAGATTCGATAACTTCCCTTTTGACAAAAGCGTCTTCATCCCTTTCTCGCTCATATGGCCAAGCCTTTGGTGCCATAGGTTTGATTTTCCATCAGCATCTGCTGCTGCAACGATATTCTCTAAATTTTAGGTTACATAGAGAGTACCAATCTTCTTACTACGAGCAATGATGAGTGCTCTTTTGGTAATCTTCCATTCACAGCCTAAAAAGGTTGTACTATAACCTTCTCAATCAAGCTGTCCTACAGAAATCAAATTTCTTTTGAGGCAAGGAATATGTCTCACTCCTTTCAGCTTCCAGGTGGTCTGGTTTGGCAGCTTTAGTCGGATGTCTCCTTTTCCGACAATCTTCAAGGTTTCATTATTAGCTAGATGAACCTTCCCAAAATCACCACTGACATAGTTCTCCATAATTTCTCGGCATGGGATGGAGTGGAAAGATGCCCCTGAATCCAAGATCCATGATTCAATCGGATTGTTGACGCTTAGAATCATGGCATCACCTGTCTCCTCTGTCATGTTGGCAGATT